ACAAATTGGGGCAGTGCTCTCAGCAGATGAAACACCCCTCTGGCTCTCACTTGAAAACGCTTTCCTAAACTCCCACTCCCTGCTAGATCTACTAGGCTTAGACCCCCAAAGGCAGACAAACTTAGACCAAATGCTACCCACAACCAGGCTAACTCTCCGCATTTGACGCACATAGGCTACCAAAATCCTATGCACAAATCTCATGTTTCACATGTCCTCCATAGACAACCTACAATACTACACATCAGATCTCCCACTCCAGCATTGGAAGGTAGCAGGAATAACAAAGATCACACACCTGTTTGATGGTAGGGCACAGCACACATTGCCAACTCTACAAAATAAGTATAATCTCCCGAGTATGGACCTTTTCCATTATTTAAGAGTGAAACATATAACGCACAAGTTAACATAATCCCCATCCAAACAGAGGAGATGAACAACTTTGGTTGCCTCTGTTGGGATAAGGGGAGTAAAGTGAAATCATTATCTGTATGTTATAAAGAACAACATCAAAAGATCACACAACTTTCACAAAGTTTTCATACATGACCAAATGGGAGGTTGAACTCAGATACAATATACCATGGATCAATGGCATAAGGCAATCACACACACCAAAAAAACAACACACGGCATTGACTATTTAGAGACAGCATATAAAATGTGGATGACATGGTACCTCACTCAGAGTAAACTAGCCTATATATACAGAGAAACCTCTCTTATGTGTTGGAGGTACAGAACACAAAAATGCACTATGACCTATACATTCTGAGAAGGCATTGAGCTAAGCTCATTTTGGAATCACATCTTTACACTCATCAAGGCAGTGACTAGGGTAGAGGTGCCACAACAAGCAGACACATATTTACTGCACTTTATACCGTCCTCATTGACAAGGGTGGAGAGGTATATCATAATACAGATCCTCTTGGCTGCCAATTGTACCATAGCCCAACACTGGAAGAACAAAACCCTTTCCACCCCCCCCTGCTATAGTGAAAGAAAGGCAACATAAAACCAAAATGGATGAAGAAATCTCACACAGGCTGAATAACTCCCCTTATATCTTTACACATATATGGGGTTGTATTGACCTATAGGTTATTATAATGCAACCTCAAGTGGTACTTCCTGTGTTACTATGTGGTTACTGATATAGTTCAACTTTGATTCTAGGTATATAGTGGTTGTACATAATAGTCTGCAACAACGGTCTCTGCCCTTGCAGCGTATGTCTACTTATAGAAGAAGGTTGTATACAATGGGCAATGTACAAGAAAATGGGCACATTGAAGTTAGTAGAATAATATCCGGTAACCTTCTTTTCTTTTTGGGTTATACTTCCTTTTGCTTTGTTGTTTATTTTATGCAAATTTATCTTTGCTGCTATCCACTATGTTTTATCTTTGGAACTAAATCATATGGTATGTCATGGAGAACAAATGCAATGTCTTCAAGATGCATACAGTTATACGCAACCAAGCATCCTTATGCAATGATTATTACCAGCTTAATTTGTATAACACTGTATTGTAATTAGTGATGTCGCGAACGTGAATTTTTCGGTTCGCGAATGGCGAACGCAAACTTCGGCAAATGTTCGCGAACCCGCGAACCGGGCGAACCGCCATAGACTTCAATGGGCAGGCGAATTTTAAAACCCACAGGGACTCTTATTGGTTGAAGGGGGGGGAGAACTACTCTCCTCCCCCCCCCGGCCCCCACCCCTGGGCGGCGGGTGGGGGCCATAAAGATAATGAGGGGGGACCTACTGTCCCCCCCGGACCCCACCCCTGAGCGGTGGGTGGGGGCCCTAATAACAATAAGGGGGGGACCTATTGTCCCCCCCGCTCCCACCCCTGCGCGGCGGGTGGGGGCCATATTGATAATGAGGGGGGGACCTACTGCCCCCCCGCGCCCCACCCCTGCGCGGCGGGTGGGGGCCATATTGATAATAAGGGGGGGGACCTACTGCCCCCCCGGCCCCAACCCCTGCGGGTGGGGGCCATATTGATAATGAGGGGGGGGACCTACTGTCCACCCCCCTCCGGCCCCCACCCCTGCGCGGCGGGTGGGGGCCATAGTGATAATGAGGGGGGGGACCTACTGTCCACCCCCCCTCCGGCCCCCACCCCTGGGCGGCGGGTGGGGGCCATAAAGACTAATGAGGGGGACCTACTGTCCTTCCCCCCTGGCCCCCACCCCTGGTCGGCGGGTGGAGGCCACAAAGATAATGAGGGGGGGGACCTACTGTCCTCCCCCCCCAGCCCCCACCCCTGGGCGGCGGGTGTGGGCCACAAAGATAATGAGGGGGGGGACCTACTGTCCTCCCCCCCCAGCCCCCACCCCTGGGCGGCGGGTGTGGGCCACAAAGATAATGAGGGGGGGACCTACTGTCCTCCCCCCCCAGCCCCCACCCCTGGGCGGCGGGTGTGGGCCACAAAGATAATGAGGGGGGGACCTACTGTCCTCCCCCCCCGGCCCCCACCCCTGGGCGGCGGGTGTGGGCCATATTGATAATGAGGGGGGGGACCTACTGTCCTCCCCCCCGGCCCCCACCCCTGGGCAGCGGGTGGGGACCTACTCTCCTCCCCCCCCGGCCCCCACCCCTGGGCGGCGGGTGGGGGCCATATTGATAATGAGGGGGGACCTACTGTCCTCCCCCCCGGCCCCCACCCCTGGGAGGCGGGTGGGGGCCACAAAGATAATGAGGGGGGGGACCTACTGTCCTCCCCCCCGGCCCCCACACCTGGGTGGCGGGTGGGGGCCACAAAGATAATGGGGGGGACCTACTGTCCACCCCCCCTCCGGCCCCCACCCCTGGGCGGCGGGTGGGGGCCATAGTGATAATGAGGGGGGGGACCTACTGTCCACCCCCCTTCCGGCCCCCACCCCTGGGCGGCGGGTGGGGGCCATAAAGACTAATGAGGGGGACCTACTGTCCTTCCCCCCTGTCCCCCACCCCTGGTCGGCGGGTGGAGGCCACAAAGATAATGAGGGGGGGGACCTACTGTCCTCCCCCCCCGGCCCCCACCCCTGGGCGGCGGGTGTGGGCCACAAAGATAATGAGGGGGGGACCTACTGTCCTCCCCCCCCGGCCCCCACCCCTGGGCGGCGGGTGTGGGCCATATTGATAATGAGGGGGGGGACCTACTGTCCTCCCCCCCGGCCCCCACCCCTGGGCGGCGGGTGGGGGCCACAAAGATAATGAGGGGGGACCTACTCTCCTCCCCCCCCGGCCCCCACCCCTGGGCGGCGGGTGGGGGCCATATTGATAATGAGGGGGGACCTACTGTCCTCCCCCCCGGCCCCCACCCCTGGGAGGCGGGTGGGGGCCACAAAGATAATGAGGGGGGGGACCTACTGTCCTCCCCCCCGGCCCCCACACCTGGGTGGCGGGTGGGGGCCACAAAGATAATGGGGGGGACCTACTGTTCTCCCCCCCTGGCCCCCACCCCTGGGCGGTGGGTGGGGGCCACAAAGATAATGGGGGGGACCTACTGTCCTCCCCCCCGCCCCCACCCCTGGGCGGCGGGTGGGGGCCACAAAGATAATGAGGGGGGGACCTACTGTCCTCCGGCCCCCACCCCTGGGCTGCGGGTGGGGGCCCTAAGTAAATCCCCCCCCTAGGTGACTAGGGGTCCCCAATCCCCTAGTCTCCCCCCCCAAAATAAAAAGTCCCTACCTTCCCCCCTCACCCTAAAAAATAGTGAGGGGGGAATAAAATAACTAACCTGTAAAATAAAAGTAAACTTACCATTCAACGTCTTCTTTTTTCTCAAATCTTCTTTTTTCAGCCCCAAAAAAGGCCAAATAAAAAACCATCATAACCGTCGAATTGAAAATAAAATAAAAATCCTGAGCGCAAAAAAAAAAACAGACGAAAAAGAAAAAACCCGAGCGCAATAAAATAATCCATCTTCACCCATGGAGGGCTCGGCGCAGACTGAGCTCTGCAGGGCGGGGGAAGGCTTATAAAGCCTTGCCACGCCCTGCAATTAGGCTAAGAACACTCTGATTGGGTGGCTTTCAAGCCACCCAATCAGAGTGTTATGAGTCATTTTACACAGCGTGGGAAAATTCAAAAGAACTTTCCCACGCTGTGTAAAATGACACAGAGCACTGTGATTAGATGGCTTTCAAGCCATCCAATCACAGTGCTCTGTGTCATTTTACACAGCGTGGGAAAGTTCTTTTGAATTTTCCCACGCTGTGTAAAATGACACAGAGCACCGTGATTGGATGGCTTGAAATCCATCCAATCACAGTGCTCTGTGTCATTTTACACAGCGTGGGAAAGTTCAATTTTCCCACGCTGTGTAAAATGACAAAGAGCACTCTGATTGGCTTAAACCCACCAATCAGAGTGTTCTTAGCCTAATTGCAGGGCGTGGCAAGGTTTTATAAGCCTTCCCCCGCCCTGCAGAGCTCAGTCTGCGCGGAGCCCTCCATGGGTGAAGATGGATTATTTTTTTGCGCTCGGGTTTTTTATTTTTCGTCGGGTTTTTTTTTTGCGCTCGGGATTTTTATTTTATTTTCAATTCGACGGTTATGATGGTTTTTTATTTGGCCTTTTTTGGGGCTGAAAAAAGAAGATTTGAGAAAAAAGAAGACGTCGAATGGTAAGTTTACTTTTATTTTACAGGTTAGTTATTTTATTCCCCCTCACTATTTTTTAGGGTGAGGGGGGTAGGTAGGGACTTTTTATTTGGGGGGGGTGGTGACTAGGGGCTTGGGGACCCCTAGTCACCTTGGGGGGGGATTTGCTTAGGTCCC